GCATCTTTATCGTGTGTGTGTGTGTGTGTGTGTGTGTGTGTGTGTGTGTGTGTGTGTGTGTGTGTGTGTGTTGTTTTCGTTTTTTGTATGTTTTGTTTTCTGTTGTTTTTGTTTAGTGTGTTTTTGTTCACAATGAGGCACAACAACTTTTTTGTGTTTTTTGTTTGGTTTGGGTTTTTGCTTGGTTTTGTTTGGTTTTAAAATTAAAGTATCACCTGACCTGACAAATAACGACGACAGTGAGGTTGACAGGATTTTGAAGCTTTAAAACTGAAAATGCGCCTTAAACATGTTCATTTGCCTTGTAGCTTCAGTCAAGCATGTATACTGTACCTGAAATGTGACTAATGTCACAATCCAGGCCAAGAGTGATTTGAGTATATGCACAGATTCAAGTGAGGTTATACAGCAAGAAATGCCTGCTTTTCACATCCTGAAAAAACTTGGTGCTACAGTATTAATTTGTTTTTGAAGCAGATGAAATGTTCTTGATTTAATATCTTTCGTCCAGCCAAGTTTTAAATCCACAGATTTTGCAAAGATCTCTTCAGCTGTGTCTGGTGTGAATTTTGTTTGGAGGTCTTGGCACTCTCTGCTGAGGCATTAAAAGTGTATACTATCAATATCACAAGGTTCTTCCAAAGTGCTCAGCAAAAGGGTGCACAGACAAATTTCAAAGGTCTCCTTTATTGACAGCCAAATTGTGTACATTATTTGCTCGATGCTGTATCCAGATGAAGGTCAAAAAGTAGTAACTGTGAATTATCAGTTTCACCTTCTAGATGAAAATGAAACTTTAAGCTGTTTTGGGCAAGGAAAAGGGTGCAGTAACTGTCATTAGAGTATCTTTAAGGTGCTGTATATTTCATGTTTCCAGAGACTTAAATTCTACACTAACATTACCAAATTAAAGAAATATTACCTCTGCAGGATCGTTGCATGTTTCAGATGGGATCTGACAGATTAAAGGGGGATGGCAGGAGCTAACTGTGGGTTCCTCTCAGGAGTGGGCCTCACACTTATCACACAAAACTAGGAAGGGTTTTGACATGTCCCGCAGCTGCAGAGAGAAAACAATATATAAGACTTTTTATTTTCAGTCTTTGGCAAGAGGCTCTGACGTATGGACCCCTATGGCACGTGTGACTTAAAGCACTCAGGTTTTTGTTTTTCAGCTGCTGTACTGTGAAAGGACTGTGTATTTGCTTCCTGCCCTCTTTTAGTCTGTGTTCCAGAATAATAGTTTAGGTTTTGGAGCATGTTCATCTGATGAACATGATTTCAACTAGGAAAAACACATCCATACATCCTCTTTTACTCAGAATAAACATCACATATCCAGAGAGGAACATTACCAAACTGCCATCATTTCAGATTATGAAAATAAAATGACCGGACACCAGAACACTTCCCTCAGGGTGCTGTTGTGCAACACCAAATAAATCTCATTCCATTCTCAGTTTTCATCACAGCTTTTCCAAATAAGGCTTGGACTGATTCAGCAATAGTTCATTGAGGCTGATGAAAACAAGCCTAGAGGAAGGATATTCTGTGTTGGCCATGCAGATGTTTGAGTTCAGATTGAAACAAAGGCCGTAGCATGACATGACATTAGTGGGACAACAGTAACTGGACGCACAGGACTTAAGTATGTTGCTATTTTGTGAATTGGGACACATTTAATTGGCCTACTTGAAACTACACTGACTGGAGATGAGTAGGTGTGTGTTTATTCACCTGGTTTTTGTGGTGATTTACTCTATGGCGATCACTGCATAAGACAAAATTTGTTTTGGAAATAACTTTTATATTTTGGAAAGTGTCAGTGTTTTAATGTACACTTGTTATGCTCTTAATCTATATTGAATATAAAGTATTTGGTTACATTTTTTATAATGGTTTTGCATTTTGGCTAGGTATGTTGGAATAGTGATTTTAATTGTAATAAAAACCTTTTTTTTAAATCATAATTTAAATGAATAAATTTTTATCATCTGTCTATGGTCTATGAAGTAGTGAACTCATTACAGAAATGCAATTCGCAAGTCAAATTATGCAGCAACATGTTTGTGTCTGCTATTCAAACTCTGAGGACATCCTGAAAGTTTATTTCCTCATAAAAACTGAAGCTTGATAAATTTGACATCTTACACAGTATGACAGAAACTGTGTATAGTAAATGAAGCATGCAGTCATTCTGAATGAGTAAGATCAGTATTGTGTTTGTGTCTTATAAAATGGCTGTTAAAATGTAGTCTTTAGTGTCAGCGAAAAACAAAATACGTTGGTTTGGTATCGAGCATATCTGGAAACCACAGACAACCAGTCCATTTATCTTTGTTTAGAGACCGCAACAATGCACTTCATCTTAATGAACATGATGTCACCGAACAAAGTTTGCAACTGATATTTGATGTGGGTGGCTTTAAAATTATTACATAGCTTGTTATAAGAGAGTCTATGAGATGGATGAAGTGTGAGGAACAAAAAATTTAATAAAAAAAAAAATACCACTTAACAATAAGAACGACAATCACCCACTTGGCCTCTAAAGCCTGTTGTTGCATCATTTGGCCTCTGTGAACATCCCTAAAAGCGTAACCAAAAATATATTTTCCAAGTCGCTTTCCAAGATTCATCTTAAAAGAGATTTATAAAGCTCACTCTCTACTGTCTGATCTTATTTGTGGCGATGACTTTCAGGAAATGATTTTGTGGGGCCGAACATGTTTCATTTGGTGTTCCTTTCATTGCTGACATGCCCATGCAGTATAGTTTTTTGGCTTGAGTATGACACTTTGGATAAAAAAATAAATAAAATAGTCGGAGGGGTAATAACCCTCAGGTTAAGACCTTGGGCAGAACTATTGGTGACACAATGAAGCAAGATGGGAAAATCAAAAGCCGCACTTCAAACCACCAAATTCTGGGCGTCAGTGCTGCATAAAATTAAGCATTTGGACCCAAGCCTGCATTAAGTGAGGGTTGTGAATTTGCGGTTGAAATCTTCATGTGTAGATGGCTGGAGTTGAGTTACATACTCTGTGTGGTTTCTACGTGTGCTTTGTGTTCCGTATTAAATAGTATGGAGTTTCCAGGCCAATATGTTTAAAAACTGATGCTAACTCTAAAGAATGGGTCATGAGTGTGAAGGTAATCTGCATAAATCAATCACGGATGTTTCTGGCAGTCATTATTCTTGTCCACGGCCTCCTTTTTTAAAAGTCTTTCTCTGTGTTTTTATTTCCTCTCTTCTTCCTTGTCCTCCCTCTGTCTCAGGTTGTTCCTGAAGAGCCACAGCGGGACGGCGGGCAGACAGAGCAGTCTGGCAATCCACGGCGCTGACTTCAGCACTAAAGACATGGACAATGACAACTGCACATGCAAGTGTGCGCTGATGCTCAGTGGGGGTAAGGCTGAAAACCTCTGTTTTAGCTCACGCCTGATGAATGTAGCCATTTAAGTCATCTATTCCAGCCGCACAAGCTTGTTCTTGTTCCAGTGATACACTAGCTATGATGCTCAAGATGATACTGTCATTGCTTTTAAATACATTATAGTACAACTGGAGAAGTAGAACATATCCTTTTTTTAAATGATATGCAGCTAGTGCAGATTACTGGCAACATGTAGAATTTGAATGATTGTAAGGGACCGTTCTTAACATTTCTGTTAAAGATTCTTTTTTGTAAAAACGAAATGCAAATCTTGTTGCATTTTGCTGTCCTCAGCTGTCTGATGATGAGATAATCTCTGACCTACACAGAAGAAATGCATTTAAAACAATTCTTTCAAAAGGTGTGCTTACACAGTGACTTCTTATTAATCCTTTAGATAATTATAATTATTTTAGATTCGATTTTTATATTTTTGTTATTTTGTGTTTTATATTTCTGTTAGGATTATTGATAAACATGAAAAGTAATGATACTATCTCTAAAGTAATAACTAAAGTAATAACTCAGTAATAACAGAAAGTGAGTCTGATTGAATCAGTAACCACTGCAAATGAATCATTCATGTGTTTTTGATTCACTAAAAAGAACTTGCCATGCAGTATGCTTTTGATTCATTAATAAAAACTGATTCATAAGAGTCATTTGTTTTGGAATCAAAATTACACTGATCACTCTAAATGTTTTGTGCTGTAGACACAGTATTTCTGTAAAGTGTTCTATTCAGATCAACAAAACTTAAGCTGACGTTTAAGAACTGCTCATTTTACCGAACGGCATGAATTATTCAGTAAAAAATAAATAATTCAAATAAACTACTAAGAGCTACTAGAATGTTATGCTCTACATACACTCTTGTCCCATTGTGAATTAAGACCTTTGTGAAGTGTGCAGACAGTAAGTTCCAGTCTAAACACTGTCTATGTCTATGTACACAGCTAACTGCTGCGTATAGGACCACCTCATGCTTTCTTTTTGGCAGAGGAACTGCATAAAGCTTTGAGCACGATGTCTTTGTGGACTTTCACATCCTGTGAGGAGTCTACCAGAAAAGGCTGAGCACCAAGTATCTGTAGTTCTGTATAGGACTCCCACAGACTCTCCTAGTGGATGCAGACCACAGACAACTTTTGCTTTTCATACAGGAAGCTCTCAGGTCTCAAATAACTGTGCATCATTTAATAAACCAGACATCGAGAGAGATCCAGTCCACCCAAATCTGCCGTCACCTTCTCCGTCCTTGGTGGCCAAATGCTAAATGAGGCCCTGACAGTGATTTATCTCTGAGACATTTAATATCAGGATGAGAATAAATGTGAGCTTTACAGTAGGATGACATGCATAAATCTGCTGTATGTGTAATGGGATTTGAGCAATGCAATTAATAAAATGGAGTACTGTCGCACTGAAAGATTTTTAATGAAAGTTCTTCATGAAAAAACAGTGCGGAAATGTTTGAAATTGTCAGTCTCGAAATAGAACCCTATAAATTCTGTAGCGTAAGTGCTTTAATGAAAGACATAGTGGTTCCAGCTCTGGTTTATATCATAAAATCAAACTTTTATCATTCTGTTGCCTCATTTCTTGTTATGCAGTGTGGTTAACAAGCCTATAAAACACATACCCTAGAGACAACCAAGGACACTGGCCAGCTGTAGGCCTGAGATGCGAAAGCATAGTAACAAGTAGAATCAGCATCCAATCAGTTTACTGTGTCAGTGAGAGCCGTGACAAAGGGCAGCGTATTTGGCTCACGGACGGCTGTTAAAATGTCACAGATCTCTCTGGCATTTGAGCCTGTGAAGTGAAGCTCAAGTTCTTCATGGGAATGAGACGTGCCAAAACATGCACTCTGTGGGCACATTTTGTGTGTACGTGTCTAATTAAATCAACAGGCCAGATGAATTGTATTTAATGCACAGAGAAGTTGTACAGTGCCTCAGAGTTGTTATTGTTAACTAAAACTATAAAAATACCTTTTGGTCATTTAAAAAAAAAGCCATATAAAATATGAATATTAAGAGATAATATCAGATGTTTTATCAAGCTATTATTATTTTTTACATTTAGATACATATGTAAGGCAGAAGGTCAGAGTTTTCCTCTTGAAGTCTGGACCATTTTTATATTTTGCTTAAAACAAACAATAAAAATGCCCTCATCATGAGAAGGAAACAAAACTAACACTGAACAAAATTATAAACGCAACACTTTTGTTTTTGCCCCCATTTTTCATCAGCTGAACTCAAAGATCTAAGACTTTTTCTATGTACACAAAAGGCCTATTTCTCTCAAATATTGTTCACAAATCTGTCTAAATCTGTGTTAGTGAACACTTCTCCTTTGCCGAGATAATCCATCCACCTCACAAAGTCTTAGATCTTTAAGTTCAGCTCATGAAAAATGGGGGCAAAAACAAAAGTGTTGCGTTTATAATTTTGTTCAGTATAGTAATTTCAAAGTTAATGTTGTCTTTCCTTGCCATCTACAAATAATTTTCCCAATTTTAACAATTAAATGTTTATTTTAAAATGCTCTTAGTCTTAACATACTGATTAACATACTTAAAATACAAAAAATGTCCTGTCACAAACCTGGTTTGAACGGCCAGAGTCATATATATATATATATATAGTAGATAAAAATAACTATATTTGCCGTAT